ACGAAGCTTGGGGCGGACCATCCCTCCACGCTGACAAGCATGGCCAACCTGGCGGCGACATACAGGAACCAGGGCCGGTGGGAGGAGGCAGAGACGCTTGAGGTGCAGGTGATGGAGACTCGCAAGACGAAGCTTGGGGCGGACCATCCCTCTACGCTGACAAGCATGGCCAACCTGGCGGCGACATACAGGAACCAGGGCCGGTGGGAGGAGGCAGAGACGCTTGAGGTGCAGGTGATGGAGACTCGCAAGACGAAGCTTGGGGCGGACCATCCCGATACGCTGACAAGCATAGCCAACCTGGCGTCAACATACATGAACCAGGGCCGGTGGGAGGAGGCAGAGACGCTTGAGGTGCAGGTGATGGAGACTCGCAAGACGAAGCTTGGGGCGGACCATCCCGACACGCTGACAAGCATGAACAACCTCGCCCACACTTAGCAGCGTATAGGAATGGTATTGGAAGCTACTCAATTAATGCGCGAATGCGTTCGCCTAAGACAACGTAAGCTGGGCTTGAATCACTCACATACGAAGGCTTCTGTTTCGACTTTAGACGCCTGGGTTAGCCGGCTTCAAATTTAATAATGGCTTTGATGAGATTGACTTTGTTTCTCTCCTTAGTAACTAGCTCATAGCTTCCGTTTGAGTCTAGGTCACCGGTGTACTGTAGTCTTCGTCGGTTCGGAAGCTTTTGCCAATGAAGCACCACCAGTCCAGACGGAGTGCAAGGCTCAGCCGTGATTGGTTACGTATGTACTAGAATCACGTGCTTCTCGGAGGCGTAAAGTGAGGCACTTATGGTGGGGTGTGTATAGTAGGCACCGTAGGGCGGAAGGCTTTGCAAATGTGACGGCTACCTTACACAGTGCGTTTGACCCCTGTTTGCACTGTATGTCTCCACTGCGTCCAGAAATAGTCGTTCTCATAATTCATTGTGTCACAGGAAAGCGGACACTCGTTTTGGACCTCACTGTATGCGTACCGAGTCGATAGTAACAAAATATTTGTCGGATTTCCAGGAGCCATAGAAGCGCCCATATATCCAGTATCCCTCTTTAAGGTATTCCTGTAGCTCGATTGCGCTGAAAGAGCAACGTGTCAGTCAACTCAGGTTACCATAGTAGCAGACGCAGCACGCACGCCGATGGCATAGTGACCGACGCCCCGGTAAGGATGGACCTCAGAATGGCTCAATCGTCACTGCAGCCTCAAAATGTTCCAGATTGATATTGTGTCATTCAAATCGCGAGGAAGATCGGAGATGCGGATGGCGGTCAGCATGGATGTTCCATTGGAGTATCTTATTTACACGTGACTGTAGTCAGATAATACGTCAGCATGTCTGGCCCAACGGCGAGCAATATAGCCCCCATGAAAGCAATTCCCTAAAGAACATTCATCCCATGTCCTATAAAAAAATGGGATACCCTGTAGGGTACGACACATCCAAACGAAGAGGACGAGTCAGATCATCTTGCGCTCCGTAGCACGAGAAGTTAATAAGAATAGCAAACTTATATTTCTCTCGGCTTTCATCCAACGGGTTAATAAGCTGACATTCTTAAAGCTTCCCGTTACCTAGATCAATATATGGCACAAAAGGGTAGAGTTTTTCAGTACGCGATATCTCACAAACGGCTCCTGGTGGGAGTCGAAGATAGCTAAGATTCCGCCGAAAATGGCTACCATTCATAGCGTCGTTTGACGTTTGAAAGTTTCCTTGATCTTCGTGCCTCACATAATGTAGAGCTGAGCGGATGATTTGTCTAGCAGGGTTGGCGTTACCGAGACTTAAGTTACTCGAGGAAGAGCGTGCACTGTGTCCTTACGTTCTGATTCTCGACATTGAGTGTCGGTCCAGGGTGTTTTATCTGCGCCCTGCGCATGAAAGCACGCGTGCATAGTGATTAAGAGTGCACCCGCCGCTTCCGATAAGGTCCGCTCATTATCACACCTTCGCATTACCCCTGAAGAATCAGTCCGAACTCGCCGTTGCTTATTAAGGTTCAGTGACGTATAGCTGAAGGCATGATAACGAGGCTTACAAATTTCTTATAGATATTCTGTACGACCATTTGTTGGCCAAGAAGGAGGGTTTTGGGGAGAGAAGTGTAACCTCCTCCGAGGTTTCCGGCTGATACTGTATCTTGAAGCTTTGCTGCGAAAACCAGAGCGTATTGTCACATGTGTTGAACAAGAGCGCATTTAGTATGCTACTCACAAAGCAAATTCGTCTCTGACGCGGGGTAGAAGAGATGACGATAACAAATATCATAACAAATATCATAACAACTGACTGCTTTGCTTGTGATATCCGGTATAAATTCATCATAAGCGTACATTGCCCAATCTATTATGATCCTCACTCTCTGTAATCTTCTTATCTACTTCTGCGAGACGAATTTTCAGCGAACCAAACTGAAATCAAATTACTACTCAAGTCCTGCAAACTTCTCCAATGGACGCTGCTGCATCTGCCGTCTTGGAAGTTGGGGCTGGAGCCTTACAGGCATTGAATCAATTTCTGGAAGACACAGACACGGCGAGATGTTGGTACGGCAGCGACTATGGGTATTTCACCACATGGTCCTGGCGCATGCTTCTACCTCCCTTCAGAAAGAGGAAGATCAACAATATCTTCGGGGTCCACGCAGACGATTGGGAGCAGCTTATCAGAAACTGCCTCTTGAATCACAAGGAATGGATCCACGCTGCGCAGAGTTCTGACACAGGAGAATGCTCCTGGCTTCCGCTTTATAGGGCGCTGCCTGGTGAAAAAAGACATGACTGGCGTGAGAAAGCACAACAGTCTTCAAGTTACATAGGAGCTGTTAGATCACGCCCTGCGGCTCGATTCGACGTTTGGGGCTTAGTGGTGCTTGCTTTCGCAAATGGAGCGGGTCTTGATATCACCCATGGCTCAAATGGAGGCTTTTTCGCGGAGATGAGCGCCAGGGATTTTGTTGTTACAGTATGGCAACATGATCTGAGCGGGTCGATGATTGGGCACATCGAGCCAAGGAATCAAGCCTCGGAACAGCACATGATCATGACTGATTCAGAGTGGCAAAATCTGCTTTATCACGGGCATTCCTTCAAGGAAGATCATCACGTCTTTGGTTGGCCTTCAAATGGCGATACACAACACCAGCCACCGAAAAATTTGACAACGGATCACCATGACAGCGAGCTCAAGCATTTGATCATTGATTATCAAATGGTGAAACGACTCCAAAAACATCTCCTTGGCGCCCTCCGTCAATGCTACGAGTTCTGGGATGCTTGTGATTATAAAATTTCAGAAGAGGAGGGACACCCCAAGGAAGCCACGCGCCAGAAGATTTGTGACATAAGAAGGCACCTCACAAGCTTCAAGAAATTCTTGTCGATGAAGCTGAGCCCATGCCATCAAGAATATCCATCAAGGGGGATGATGCACTCTACGACGCTACCAGAGACCTGCATGTTCTGGATGGCTTAATCCACAACAAGGCTGTGCTGCAGCCTGCCGATCAATCGCAGCCGCGTCTACATGAAATATTGCAGAGCCACAAAAAGGTTCTTGCTCTCATCCGACTTCTAGTTTTGCCTCAGAAGATTGACTATAGTTTAAGCACTCGTGCACTAGGTGTTTCGGTATCTATAGTTTAATGAGTTTAATAAAAGCTTGGCTGACGTGGCTTCTGGGCCTCGTCGACTGAGGCACGCCGCATGGTGCTTCGGATCACGTGACCTCTATCAAGTCAACGGGATTGGGCCCCGCTCCAGGTGGACGAGGGCGACTTGGTTTTGATTACATAAACCCCATCAGGCGCCGGGTGCAGACCGTGAATACGCAATCGGGTAGTTGCAGACTCGTGCGACATACGAAGCGCAACATCTGTCCATCTAACATGGCTGGAAACGCGGTGATCTCCCATCCGGACAGCCCTCAAAGCGACTGCGATTCAACGACGAACGAAACGCCCCCGCAACACATTCATCAGCCGTTGACACCACCTTCGTCCGATGAACGGCGACCGAGGCAGGACGAGGCAAAGGTCCGACAGCTGCTCGACGCGGTCAATAGTCAGGCGGGTCATCAGCCATTGATTGGGATCAAGGTAGCCCCGACGACGTACACACGAATATCTGAGATAATCGACCACAAGGTACGCCGACACGATTACGATCCGGATCGCGAACTCCTTATCATTCGCATGCCTTCCCCTACTCACGAGGTTTTCTCGAGATCCCTTGCGAAACATCTACAAGACCACCTCGACAGGATCACCAGCAGAGAAGATGAGGCCGGGCGTTTTGCGTCAGATATAGCGAGCGGTGGAACGGCGCGAATCTTCTTACGGGAAGGAACCTCGGAAAGAGGAGAGTCAAGCCGTCCACTGCGTCGGCAACCCGACGAGCAGTTCCAACATAAGGATGCCACCTATCCAGGTGTTGTCATCGAAGTATCGTACTCCCAAGATGGCAGAGATTTGCGACGTCTTGCTCAGGATTACATTTTGTACTCCAACGGGGATATCAAGCTCGTCATTGGCATTGATATCAATGAAGATAAGGAGTGCACAGTGTCATCATGGCGTCCGCAGTATACTGGTGTGGTGAATGACGTTGACGACCTACAAGTCGTCCAGGAGGTGGAACGCCGAGTAAGTTGTTCGTTATCCTCCTCCTTCGGCGAGTTCTTACTCTACCCAAGGCCTTTCGCTCCCCAGATAAAGAAGCCGTCAACTTGGAAGACCGCCTCGAAATCAATCTCAGTGATTTCGCTACCGACGAAATTTTTTGCGGTGATGAGTCCGCGAAGCTCTATATACCGTTCTCACAATTGGCTCATTTTCTCACTCGAGCCGAAGAAGTGCAGGAAGCAAGGGAGCCTCGCCAAGGGCAACAAGGCATCAAGTCGAGCCGGCAAACAAGGAAGCGCCCATTATCATCTAGCTCTGCGGAGGAGCTTGTGTCCGGGGACGAAGCGAGGTTTTTGGACCTAGAGAGACGAACAGCAGATCGAGCTGAAGCGAATGATGGTGACTTTACGATGTTGGGGGCGAAACGAAGACTCTGAAGGGTAACGCTGATAGAATCTTGCTTCGCCCCAGCTCCTTTGTCATGGTACAACAATTCGTTCCACTGATGTAGATACAGCGTCCGCGATCGATTTCATTGGAGCGAAGCATCCGGACACGATCAAGAGCATGGCCGAACTCGCGACGACGTACCATGCGCAAGGGCACTACGGCAAGGCTGAGCCTATAGAGGTGGAAGTCCTCGATCTTCGACGCGAGATGCTTGGAGCGGAGCATCCGGATACCCTACAAGCGATGCAGAGTCTTGCTGTATCTCGACATGCCTGTGGGCGCCGAGATAGTGCTCTGCGCCTTATCCGCGAGTGTTTGCATGGACAATAAGTAGTCCTGGGACCGGACTATCATTCTACTAGAGATTCTGCGTAAATTCTCATAGAGTGGGACGGAAACCCTCGCCAGCTGCTCAAACGTTGGATGGCGAAGATATTGACTGTATTAAAGCCTGCGAGGCACTAGTCCGGCAGCATCTTGTACATTTAAAGTACGGTCACTTGAGACCTCTGATAAGCATACGAGGCCTGACTCTAAGAATCCATTTTGTATTGCCCACTCAGTTTCGGTCCTCATTTTACCTATGCCATATTAGAATAGCCCCTCCTTAATTCTTGAACCGCCACTAGCCGGGTGCTGTGTCCCAATTGTCGCTTAAAGTACCGATTGAAGAGACGGACACTGTGACGCACGATGTGTTCTGCCCGGACCGTGACCTACTTAACAGTACCTGACAGTACACAGAGTCCACATCCAGAACTGGCTTCTGTGGTAGCGTAAGTCTCCTTTTCATGACTCATGGAAGTAGAATTTGGTACACAGGGTTCCGATTCCAGGCTCCACAAACCGACACAATGTTATTGATAGGAAGCTGCACATGCTTAGGAGTGTATGGTTATTCACGCCAACGGCTTGACGATACAGTACTGTACCTCTACTTTTCTTTTTGCTCTCTCTCTCTCGCTTCCCCCTTTTCATTCTTTCTCATCCCAGAGGACCCTGCCTCCCGCACTACCCGGCCACGACTTTTACAAGTTAACCACCCAAAAAGCCCACTACCCCTGCCAGGTCACGACGCCACCAAATGGCCCCCGTGCCGTGACCTTCCGCCCCGGACAGGGGGACGCTTTTGGGGGGACAAAAGGTTCAAGACCAGTAGGTAGACCTGTAGTACAGTGAGGTGCAAAACGAGTGTCCCCTTTCCTGTGGCACAACGAATTATAAGAACGGCTATTTCTGGACGCAGTGGAGACATACAGTGCGAGCAGGGACCGAGCTCACGAGTGCAAGGTAGCCGTCACATTTGCAAAGGCTGCCGCCTGCGGTGCCTACTATGTGCACCCCACCATACATGCTTCACTTACCCCTCTAAGATTCACGTGATTCTAATACATAGTATAACCAACCACGGCTAAGCCTTGCACTCTCGTCAAGACCAGTGGTGCCTCATTGTCAAAAGCTTCGGAACCAATAAATACTACAGTACGCGGTGGCCTAGACTATAACGGAAGCTATAAGCTATTTACTAAGAGGATAGACAAAGTCAATCTCAGTAAATCCGTAATCAAATTTGGAGCTGGCTAACCCAGTCGTCTAAAGTAGAAACAGAAGCCTTCGTATGTGAGTGATTCAAGCCCAGCTTACGTTGACTTAGGCGAACGCATTCGCGCATTAATTGAGTAGCTTCCAATACCATTCCTATACGCTGCCAAGTGTGGGCGAGATTGTTCATGCTTGTCAGCGTGGAGGGATGGTCCGCCCCAAGCTTCGTCTTGCTCGTCTCCATCACCTGCACCTCAAGCGTCTCTGCCTCCTCCCACCGGCCCTGGTCCCTATATGTCGACGCCAGATTGGCCATGCTCGTCAGCGTGTCGGGATGGTCCGCCCCAAGCTTCGTCTTGCGAGTCTCTATCACCTGCACAAAAAGCGTCTCTGCCTCCTCCCATCGGCCCTGGTTCCTGTATGTCGACGCCAGATTGGCCATGCTTGTCAGCGTGTCGGGATGGTCCGCCCCAAGCTTCGTCTTGCGAGTCTCCATCACCTGCACCCCAAGCGTCTCTGCCTCCTCCCACCGGCCCTGGTTCCAAAATGTTGACGCCAGATTGGCCATGCTCGTCAGCGTGTCGGGATGGTCCGCCCCAAGCTTCGTCTTGCTCGTCTCCATCACCTGCACAAAAAGCGTCTCTGCCTCCTCCCACCGGCCCTGGCTCCAAAATGTTGACGCTAGGTTGGCCATGCTTGTCAGCGTGTCGGGATGGTCCGCCCCAAGCTTCGTCTTGCGAGTCTCCATCACCTGCACCTCAAGCGCCTCTGCCTCCTCCCACCGGCCCTGGTTCCTATATGTCGCCGCCAGGTTGCCCATGCTTTTCAGTGTATCCGGGTGCTCTTCGCCTTACGCTTGGGCCAGTATTCTTACGGCTTGGCTCAAGTAGGCTTCGGCATTTCCCCAGCTACCTTAATGCATGAAAAGACCGCTTATATTATGGAGAAGCGATGCTCGGTGAAGATTCGCGGCCTCCACCTCCTTTCCATGCGCTGCTAATACAGCATAAGCATGTGGTAAGTACTGCAAGCAGATATCTCGGGTTTCAAATCTTCCCCATAGAAAGGCATTCGACACTACCTTTAAAGCTGCTACCGCAAAGTTGTCCGTTGCTCCCTTAGTAGCGAGCCACTTGCGAGTGACGAGCTAGACTAGACGATGCATATCCACGGTGTCATTCTTTCTATTTAAGACAAAGGAGAATGCAATGAGAGTACCCAGTGCCTTCGTCACAGCCTCCAAGCCACTCTGGCCTTGTTGGTTATCTAGCTGCGTAGATGCCTAGTAATCCTTCACGAAACTTTTGGGTATACTCTAACGATCCAAAAGGCTGATCATTGAAAGCACAGAGCTTGCCAACGGATGCTGCTTTTCGATTTGCTCAAATGAGATGATCCAAGTCGCTGTTACTGCATGTGACGTCTCGGAATCTCTTCCGAAGCCTTCAAATAGCTCGCTCAAACGGTTGACCAGGACTTCGCTGCTTTCATCTAGTAATTATAAGTAATCCTCGATAGATGTGCCGTTCTCCTGCATAAAGGCCGTTGCTTGCACGAGTGCAAGAGGTAAGTGTTCGAGTCGGGATGCGAGTCGCTCCGTGGTCCCCACTGTAATATCATCATCCTCCATAGTAGATCGGATGAGCCGCATAGCCTCCGCATCCGTCATTTTCGCTACCTCGATCCGGTGCTTCGCAGGCGCTAGCCGGACGGCGGTCTGCTTATTCCGGCTCGTAATTAGGATCGAGCCGTGCCGGCACGAGGGCACGAAGCGACCTAGTTTCCCTCTGCCGATAGCGGGACCTGACATGTGGATGAGTTCGTCCTTTTGTGATAGGGCAAAGAGCTCGGTATCGTCCGCATTATCGATCACCATAAGCCAACGACCCCGATCCGTCTGCTCAAGCCAGGATTTCACCAAGGATAGTGTCTCCGCTTAGGGATCGTCGTACCCGGGAATCTTACATTCTTGGGCAATAGACGTATAACTCTATAAAAATCGCTCTAGACTGCTTGCATGGGCCCAGAACACGGATGTCCTAGGACATGTTTCCTAGAGCCAGTGCACGTAGGATAGTGCAATCTGTGTTTTTCTTCCTTTTTATCAGTTCCCCGGCTTATCTTTCGAAGTTCGATCGCTTACCTAATACCTCCCAAGCCATAGAGAGCCACTCTCGATCCTAGCTTATCCGCATGCGTACCGAGGCCGAGCTGTGACATAAGGGTCTCTAGATAAGAGACTCTCGGCACAAAATTTTCGTTCTTTGGGTACGGAACAACAACTAATAGCCTATTAGAAAGACACGTAGCTCGAAATACCGCGACATACACCATGGACCCTTGGGTATCTGTGTTGTACCTACCGCCCTTTAGCTCGTAGACCTAGTAAAACTCGGTCACATACTTTCAATCGGCACCCACTCCTAGAGAAAGCCCTTCATACACGCCGCCGCGGCTGCCGCAGCATACCGCTGCCACACCTTGTTCTTATGACTGTCGGCATAGTCGCATGCCCCTTTAATTACCACGCACGGGAAGCTATCCCATGCGCCCGCACCCTCCATCTCGAATACGACTACGTCTTCTTCCTTTGCGATCCTATCGCGGTCCCTTCCCGACTTCATCACGGTGCTCCCAGATGCGATCAATCCAAAGTGAATGCTAGGGGCCGGCTCGTCAAGTTCTGGCAGGAGCCGCTTGCGTGGCACGGGAATACCAGAGCAGCCAAGGTCATCACATATCTTATGTTCATCCATGTGCTTAAAGTCGGGCTCAAATAGCCTGTCAAGTGCCTTGCCGGGGTAAGTAGCGCCTAGCTGCGGTGTTGCTCGAATGTCGCTTAGGTAGCTGGATGTGCGCTTCGCAAGCTGAGCTCGACCCCGAATGCCACGGAATTTCGCGAGTATGGATCGAATTTCGGATAGGGGTCTTCCTAAGCTTTCCAGCAGGGTATTCTTCCGCATAAAATGCCCATCTATATGCCGTCCGAAGTCGTACTGCACCACGCCGTCACTGATGACGATATCGCCTAGCACTCTCTCATCGCTACCATCACCGGGGACGATGCCACAGATTCCAACGACGAGTCCCAGTCTAATATTAGGGTAACTCGTCTTGCAAGCGCTCGCAACGGACGCGGCATTCGCTACGCCTATGCCCGGCATGTGCGCCAGTACGACATTGTGGCGGCCGATAACACCTGTAGAGTATAAATTAGGATCGCCGGGTGTTTTATTAAATGATAGGCCGCCGTCGTCCCAGTGCTGGTCGAAGACAGCTTCGACTGCGTCAGCTTCTAAGGGTAGGGCGCAGAGAACGGCGACGTGAAAGTCATTGCGCGAGGCAGAGCGGGGCGATCGGTTGCTCGTCGCGCGAGAGGCCATGATGGTTTGTCCTTTCACTAAGGGGGCTGCACACAAGTACGAGGAGATAATCGGCTCCAACAAGTCATTGAGTATCGTCTTGTTGTACTCCGTACTCATGGAAGAAACAAATGGTTAGCCAGGAGCTAAAAGCAGGACAAAGCGGGGTTTTCTCTTCCGTGTGATGAACGAAACACGCAAAGTGCACAACCAACATCAAGCGCGACAGCAACCAATCAGTGCCTCGTCACGCATCGCCTGGCTGCAGCTTGTAGCGCTTCATACTATGACTGCGCCGTTAGGACACGATTGGCAAATACAGTAGGTATAGAAGCATATAGCACGCCGACTTGTCGACGCTAGCGTATCGGACATGCGTTCATAAGAGGGAGTGAGTGTTGTCGCAAACCTTGTAAGTCAGCCTATCACATTGGATGCGAAGGGCCTAAACTATCGCTTATATAGAGAACATCGAGAAACGGAGTTAGAGAGTGGGTGAAAGGCATATTGAGGGGTCGATCCCGCAGAGTCACGTGATAGGACTCCTTACGCAGCTAGCCCTGATGAGTCACGTTCGAACGCGGTTCCCCTAGACTTCCACGTATTTATCCGTTGCCAAGAACGGTTATATTTGTACCTATAACAACATCATTCCAGCCATAGCATGGCAGCTATTTCCTAAGGCGCACAAGGAGATCCGGGCTCTGCTTCTACAAATCAGACGAGTCGAGCAATTGCTCAGAAAGTACAGTGCAGCGAGCGCGCCGTCCGAAGAGTACGTTCTACCATTCGCCGTTTTAGCCGCACACGTCCACCCCCGAATAGAACCGGCCGGCCGTCTCGTCTCCTACCATACATGATTAATACGCTATGCGGCAAGCTGACACAGGATCCATGCATGTATCGCGATCTGTTCATTTACGTCTACCTAGTTGATGTCGGACCCCGGGAAACGCCCGGGTATGGCCTCTTCGCCGCGAGCATTGATTGAACATACGAGTTATGGTCTCTTCAGCCTCGTGGGTGTTAGTTAATCGCTTCTGCGCCACGATATCTGTAATCTCAGACTCGAGTTCATCGCCCCAAAATATGCTGGGGCAGGATGTAATATTCTGGACCGCATTCCCACTAAGCTTGTGGAGCCTCGTCTTCTTCTGGCAGAGTGTCCATTTCAGGGTGTAGGGTGGGCAAGGTGTCTTGCTAGGCTCATCAATAACAGGACCGGGAGAAGAAACCCCAAATTCACAGTCCTCGGAGTAAAGCCACTGGCTGGGACTGTATGCTTCGACTATATTGACGAGAAAAACTCATCGAGCAGAGATTACTCGTGAACAACTTTGGACAGGGGGCAGAGAGGGAAAGCATTGGTTTTGTTAGGCAGAATCCCTTCTTTCCACGCTCTTCCAAAGGGCCCACTAAGCGCGCGACCTAGACAGGAGAGATCATGGCGGACATCAAGGCTAGCGGTGAGGTCCCGATAGATAGGAACAGTAAGAATAGGTCAGAGAGAAACTATTGCCGGAGCAGCAGAAGGCTCATTATATATGGGTGATAGGATCAAGCAACTAAATGGAGCATAGAGCAATGTCCCACGTTGGGCATCAGATGTATGTTTCAGAGGGGTGGGACCAGACGCTACGGGGGTGAATATAGCAAGCGAATACAGGGGGGGAGCTCAGCAAATGTCGCGCTACCTCGCTCTGGTGTTGTCTATCCCTGGGCGCACTGTAAGGCTCCACCGCGTCCAGAAATAGCCGTTGTTATAATTCATTGTACCACAGGAAAGCGGACACTCGTTTTGGACCTCCCTGTAGTTTCGCGGGTAAGGCATTAAGATATATGCAGCAGGGGGTGGGACCAGGAGCGACAGGGGTGAATCTAGTAAGAGAGCACGCGGGGACGGCTTTACAATTGTCGCGCTACTTCGCGCTCGTGTGGCATATCCCTAGGCGCACTATAGGTCTCTACTGCGTCCCGAAATAATAGCCTTTGTTTTATTTCCCTACATCACAGGAAAGCGGACACTCGTTTTGGACGTCACTCAAGAATCTGACTGAACTACCTTGTCTCAATGGCAGGTCGCTCCAGGCCGCTTGCAGGCGGACGTCAGAGCTCTAGGCTCAAGTCCTACGTGATCGCGAAGCCTTCTCTGGCCAGACTGGAAGTCTCAGCCTCGAAGCCCAATCTAGATGGAACTCAATCGGCAATTTTGAACATTAGCTCGCGTATTCGAGAAGAGAAAGTTTGTTAGACTGCTCCCTTGGTCTCTCTATCACAGATGATCTTCCTGGGGACCCTACTCACATTCCACCATCGTCAAAAAAGGTATGGCCCCACTCTCCGTCTTCCACAAACGACTGCGCAGCTTTCTTTTCCCGCCCCTGATTACATTACCTCAGATCTCTGCCCCCACGTGTGTCATCATTCTGCGGACAAACCCAGCGCTAATCACAACGTTCCCGAGTGCTTCTTCCTTCTTCCACAAACCTTTCGTATGCTATGGCGGTATCAACATGAAAGCCAGTGCATATTGCCAAAGCCGGGGAAGAACTCTACGCGTCATTTTTCTAGCTATTCTGCTCTTTGTTCTTGGTTATTCCTCCAACAGGCTCCAACTGCAATGGCAGAGGTATGGTGTACCTAAGAGCAGCAACACACGCACACTATCGAGCAAACCGGAAGGTGTCACAGTCAGCGGTCTAGTTTTCTATGGCCGAAAGGATAGAGCCATATGTATGTACTGCTACCTGCAGGTGAGTGCGGCTCCTTAATGACGGTACCTTCTGCGTATGCTTAAGCCCAGACAGCGAAATATGGCCGACCAGGGCGGGTGGCTCGACGAGGTGCTCTGGATTGTTAATACAGATCGTGAAGACGATCTTCAGTACCTTGAAGATATCATAGCCAGCAATCCAACAAGACATAAGAAATTAAGGATTCCGGGCGAAAAGTTGAATACGTATACCTACTACAAAGCCTGGCAGCACCTAGAGCGCGGCAAGTATTATGTCAAAATCGACGACGATATTGTAAGGGGTACCCTCGCTTTTCTAACGAAAAAATCATTCAGGCGTTGTGTTTACGATCTATAGGTATGGTTCGACGACGATGCGATCCCTCAACTAGTCACACGGAAAATCAACTATCCAAATGACTTTGTCGTATCTGCTAATATTATCAATAATCCTCCGCTTGGGTTTCTGCACTATCATTCGGGTGCCCTACATCCATATCTGCCCGAGACGGTGCAGCCTGATTATGTTCCAGAATCGTGGAAACCCTCCCAGCACGGTTTCTGGCAGGGAGCTGACAACCTCATCTGGGACCTCAAGCTGGATCCACCGTACGCTGGTCATAGATGGTTGCGGCTCAAAGAGCAAGATATTGTGCGGACTCCGGTATCCAAACTTAGTTATGAGGTCTGGGGTGATAGCTATGCTAGCTGGGCTATCGCTGCGCAGATGCATCTTTCCCTGCTCGAAAATATCGAGGCCAACACGTTACATCTTTACAAGTTCGAAAACCCCTGGATCATGCACGGAGAGCGGATCAGAATCAATTTCATGTGTATCTACGCCGACGATATTCTAGATACGGTTGTCGAGGACTGGCCTCGCAACCGCGGGGATGAAGATATGATAGTGCTCGATCTACCAGAACGGCTACGCCGCCGTGAGTTTTCCCATCCCGTACACGTTGATATGTTCCTGACTATTTTTCAATGATACAGCAGTAGTGGTTGAAGGAAATGCGCTTGCCGCGCATCTCCAATACGTAGACCAGCCTGGTGTAGCGGGAACTGATGTGTTGTTGCGGTACCGACTTCTGGCCAGAGATCAAGGCTGTCTATAATCGAAATCTTCTCCTCGCTAGCTTTTTTAGGCGCTTTGGCTGAAAGGCAGAGTAATCATACAAGCCAATATGCGACTTGCATGATGTGTTGCACAGGATATACATGACCCAAGTATGACCCACAACTTTTTTTTATGACACCACGATCATTCAACAACCCATTGATCAACGCATAGGCCGCCATGCAAGCGATTAGGCGACTCTCCAGTCCAAAAGCTGTTTCTACCATAGTCGTTGGTACAAAGTTATTGACTTTTAATCCGTGGTACTATAGTGCGCTAATATGTTTCATCTCCCTTATATCAGTCAGAAGTAAATCTCGATAGCAAGCTAGTTAGTGATTTCGCATAGTAGTGAAATATAACAGCTTGCCGTCTGAAGCAGGCTCAAGGTGGTCGACGCATGCTGTTGGTCATTGCTGAGGGGTAACGAGGCTGAGATAGGTTGGCCGCATGCCTTCCACGTTGTATCGCAGGTGCGGGCGCCAAAAAGCGTAGAACATCCCGTGTCAAATTCGGATGACGTAGCAATTATACAAAGAAGTCAGGCTATTCAGTTCGCCCTCGTCGAGGAAGCGTATTGCGACACATTGTGTAGATTTAACCGTGACGCGCATGCATGCCGAGGAAGCATTACTACGAATGCCCCAAGGATGTATGACTCATACGGTGAGCGGCAGAACCATTAGCCCAAGGTAACTTGATGTTTAGGTCGTGTACGCTGACCCAGCTGCGTCTACGAACACTCGAAACGCTCAGTGTATTCGTGGATTTAGTCAGTAGCTAGCCTAGCACGTCCTATGCCTCTAGAGGGGTCCGGAAGTGGACGCTAAATATGTAATCAATCAATCAATCAATCAATCAATCACTGTTTGAAAGCTGCAGAACACACACTGTATGGAGACTATTTGAACTTTCGTGTCGTTCTATTCGATAGGAAGCTGTACATGCTCAAGATTGTATCTCGAAACGGCGCCGTGAAAGTCTTGGGGCCAGCATTGCGCGTGTTGACCTGTGACCTGGGATCCGTCTTCATCGCTACAGAAGTAAAACTTGTCCAAATATGCCCTTTCCCGGCCCTCGACGGCCAAAAATGGATGGGTGAAAATGCATTTGATTGTTCGCATGGCTTCCATGAGAAAAGGGATGGAACGGTCGACAGGAGCGCTCTGGGGTCTGTTCGATCTACGCACACGAACCCTCCTCTTTCGTCATGGAGCCGCTTACACCTGATCGCCCCAGTCAGTCGACCAGCGAGATACCCTGGACCAGCTTCGGTTCCGGTCCAGAGAACCTGGCTCCGCGACCACTGCAGCTCCCAAACCGCAGCCCCGCAACCGGTCCAGTAATCAGGCCATCGGATATGTACATACCGTTCCGCGACCCGCCGCCAACGCCAGGGCTCAGCCCCATTCGGCCGCCGAGGGAGCGCGGGGTTATTCAACACTGCCTTCATCGCCAGAACCAATCTGCTCCGTACTCGAGAGGCTCGGGGCCGGCACCATGCCCTGTGTCCCTGCGAGATGCCGGCGCACGGTGGGCCAGTTCATTGCAAGTTGTCCAGCCTGCAGTGACCAGCGAGCGTACCCAAGGCCCTCGCTCGCCTGAATCCATGGCAGCCGTTGTGGCAAAGGGAGACAACCTCAACAGTCCTGACTACCTTCGCATGAGGGCTATTGGGGAGCTCTTGGCGACGGAAAGAATATACCTGGCGGACATGCGTGATCTGGAGAAGATGATGGAGTCCGCAAAACGCTACCTGAATCAAGAAACAGTCAGGCAGATATTCCGCAACGTGGGGGAGATTGTCGTGTTCCACACATCCTTCCTCCAATCGCTTGAGAAGGCAACCGCTCCCTTGCACCACCAGATGAGTGCAAGCTGTAGCGAGCCAAGGAGCCTGCGCATCGAAAATTTCCAAGTTGTGATTGGTCCTGTTTTTGATTCTCACCTTATACGTGGGAGCCTCATAAGGATCTACGAGCGATTCCTTAACGGCAGCCATGGTGCCACTAGGTTACTCGCCCTACTACAGCTGGGTTCATGGAGTCTGGATTCTCTACTCATAAAACCTCTGCAGCGTTTGATCAAATACCACGACCTTATCGGCGCCATTCACGAGCAAACGGCCAGGTACACCGATCCTTGCCACCTCGATCTACCAGCGCTAGACAGGGCGCAGAGAATGCTAAAGGAGACGATCACGCGGATCAACGAGACAATTCCTTGCGTCGACAAGGAATGTGCAGGAACGAGTCCACCTCTGACGGCGAAGGCCAAGGTCATCCGCGCCTTTCAGCCCACGTGGCGGCGACATTCAAGGTAGGACTCATGTAGTTAAGGAATGAAGCCGGCTAAGCCTACCTAATCCTGCGAATCTACCCCCAGCTCACGAATTATCTGCGATGCGTGGCCGCGTGAAGGGCTTTCTGGAGCTCGGTCGGATGGCGTGCTGAACAGGGTGTCGTTGGTGCTGCCATGACTGCGTTGGACACTGTGGCGCGGGCCGCACACTTCGGCGCTCGGAGGGGAAGCCGAACAAGAAATATCTAGCCTCCCACGTGTCGTGCATTCTATTTGACCACTTTGGCCTTTATCAAGTCAGCGATGCCTCCCAAAAACAAGCTTTCTATCCTCTGCGACCACACTCAGAGATGCCTCGCCCCCTGTGATCGTGCTTGAATAGCAGCAACAGGGCCACGAGACCCGTCCGTAGAACCCGGCAGATGCCGGTGGGGAATGAGCACGAACTGTATTACGGATCTCGTATGCTCGGCTCGGCTCCGACACTTTGATCTTCCATGATTGATCACAGGCTGGCATAGCCAAACCCGAAGTCAAGGACAAGTGCAAATCTTTGGATGCTGGCTTGGACGCCACCGTCATTCACTTGGAGCGTAAGAACGCATATTAGTTCGTAGCCACGGTTATCTACAGCGGCCAAAACCCAGCGTGATAAATAGAGTGAGTAGATCAAAGCGTAGACACCGGTATGGTCCATGTTCATACGGACTAGCAGCCTTGCTCACGGGCGAAACTTTGCTCAACGTGAGGAACATGATCATGGTTGGCACGGAGGGCGAGGTATACATCTCAGAAACTGGTGCCGTCGCAAAGATGTAATGTCCGTCAGAAAACTAGGCCGCTACATCGAAGCACAAAGGCGCATTAACCCGGACAGAGCGTAGTGCGGCTGCTGCGAATACAAAAGCTGGTCTAAAAAGGTTCGCTCGAGAAGGCTAGACCTCTCACTCGACACAGTCATGAGCATGTACAACTTCCTGTCCATGACATTGCATCTATTTTCGAGGCTGGAATCACACCTGTCTCGGGCTTAGAGAACCAAGGAGTCCAGCTGGACATCAAGACGACAACTGGTTTGGTGACCTTGAGCATCTGGATGAAACAACCGACAAGTACAAGTATGACAGGTTGCCGTAGATCAAGCTCAGACTGAATCAGATGCCGATAGGAACCACAGCACGCACGCAGACTCGATCCGCAGGCTCCGCAAGGGCGCCAGCCCTGTGGCCTTGAGTTTGTTGATAGGCAATGGAGTAATGCAATTTAAATGTGTAGGAATCAAGTGTAAAGGGGGAAGGGTTGATTGATAAAAGTGAAGGAGCGTAAGGCTCCTTACAAGGAACTACGGCAAGGTGACGTGACCCGACTAGCCGTCATCCATGTAAACAGAGAGTGCAAAACGCGAAGAATTTCCAGGGGCAGCCTTACTCCTCCACACAGTACGGCGGCCGCTAGTCGAATTCCAGCAACAGCATTTGGGGGGAACACGCCACATTTAAGTGTGTCACTTGTAGGGTAATACCACAACACACCGATGTCGCATGTGCACAGGTAGCCGCCGTACGATGCCAGGCCTGGATCATCTCGCATAGCAGCCTCCGCGATAGTCTTTGACGCCTCCGCCCGCGCAGGTCGTGCCCTAAGAGCAGATCTAGCGTGCGCTTTAGCCTCTCTCCCTTTAGCCTGTGCGGCTCCCTCCACCGGTAGGTTTCCCATCGGCCGTCTTGGCCGTCGGACGCTAGGCACGTTCCGCAAGGCTCGCACACGACTGCTCGATGTTCGGCGTTGTATGTCCGTTTTTCAAGAGCCATGTTGAATGAAGAGGAAGATTCTAAGCTGTCCTTCTTACTCTGAACTTTCACCCTAATCCTGTCACGACTGGTATGCAAATACATACTGAGATTCGATTTAGGCGATGGTGTCCTATTCTATACTTATACTTATATATACCCATCTCCCATCTCTTTCTCTCTCCCCCTTCTCCTCTTCCTCCACCTCCATGTGGTGGTCGCCGCCCCCACATTCTCGTTTTTCTTTTTCCTAGTACCTTTCTGGGTTTAGCTTCAACGCCACTCCCAATCACCGTCGATTTTTACACGTCAACCATTTGGAAGGCAACTGCATAAACCGTCCATTAACCACTGTCATGCCATTTTCACCACAGATTCCGCCCGCCAAGGTATCCCGACCGCCTCGCAGAGGTATCCTTTTGGACGGATTAAGGGCGGGAGACTCGTAGAGCTGTAGGGCGTGGGTGTTCTAGCTTTGCGATCCAATCCTCCCAATCCTCCCACGCACGATTCGAATCGCAGTCAGGCTTGTCAAGAAGGTTTGGGTGGTCGCAAAATATGCTAGACAGGCTGCCAAATTGTGTTGCAGATTCAGGCCTGGGATCGATCATCTCAACAGTACCCCCGCCCTCGCCGTTCACACAATGGCGACCTCCTGGAATTGCTGCTTCTGCTGATTTGGTGTCGGGGTGCTCATTGTTTAGTTTGAGAAGTTTGAGGCAGGTGTCGTTTGTGTGGACGGCAGCCCAGTCATCGAATTTAGAGTCGTCGTCGACAGCCAATCGCTGAAAAGCAATTGCAATTCCTGCAGCAAGAAGAATAGAGAAGACAGGTGTGCTATCTTTAGCGCCCATGAGTATAGACTCTTTTACAAGGCCGATGAGTTTTCCTAGGAGACTTTCGTTTGTCTCCTCAGCATGGGACTGATTGAATGCTTCCAGATTAACTCCAGTTGTATCGAGAAACCGCTTTTTCTCAGGCGGATTTAGCAGACAATTCGGCGCTCGAATATCACGAATAATCTGTGAAATGGCGTGTGGCGTTAGGATAAATGGTCGAGTGGAATGGACTCCGTATGGAGCTTCATGGGAGCACTCCATATGTCCAGGGCCGTTCATCGTTAGAGCTGCTTTGAACTTAGTCGGAAGTGCTTTTTATTTGTTCGATAGTAGGGAGTTATTAGCGAAGGACGTACGGGATGAAGTTCTAATAAAGGTGAGGCCTTGGCTGGAGGGAACCCGAGTTTCTAAGCAAAGATGGACCAGGAAAGACGCTGAAACCCCCAGAGCTCTGACCAGGTGCCCAAGCAGGCAAGCACAGCCCGTCTACTTATCCACCCACACACACGCCCACATACACGCCTCGCATACTATATGAAACACGGCTAGGTCTGCAACATGACTTGGGCTTGCATCTCCATCAAGGCAGCCGCAGTCCATTGCATGAGCATGCGTGGCGGTGCGATGTCCGACGTACGGCTCGGAGCAATAATCATACCTCCGTGAGAGGTAGATGAAGATGTTATCCTGGCCGTGAACACCACATTATGGTGAGCCCGAAGAATTCCGTCGGGGGTTGCCGTATCAACGGCAACAGTATGGTACTGGATCGCTTCCAGACTAATCCTGTCGTATCCAGTTATTTCAGGGTCGAGCTTCCCACGAGCTAGTGCCAGCTCGATAACGTAGCGTACTTCGATGCCCTGGGCCTGAGCCACGAGCACCTTGCTGTGACAAACGGTGGATGATCGCAGCTTGTAGCTGGGGCTCTACAACTCGGTGAGCAATGTGACCACTGACATCCGGTAGCGTTGGGTGGAGGCAGATGCGCAGCGACTACTAGTGACGGTTCAGGGGCTGATTGGCTTCCGCGCATTGTACTATTCTGGGGCAAAGGAGCTAGTCACACCGAGACAAGGCCACGGCGTCTATGCGGAGCGTCGGCGGTAAGTAAACTCGAGTTTAGTGTGGATTGTATGACGCGGCAACAGCAAGTATGACAAGGCGGACCGGCAGAGCCTGGTTGACATTGAGCGTTCCGGCACTTCTGCGGCGAACCTAGCTGGGCTCCCCTGCCTTCACTGGTGCGCGTCTGTGCACTTGATCGTGAAGGTTGTAGTCACCTTGGTTGCGGCTGCGGGTCGGAGCCTACACAAACTGGGACGCTAGGCAGAAGGGGCATGTCAACTGTTGCTTTCCCCGAGGGGCGTCTGCGGCTGGAGGTCGCCCGGTGGCCTCAGAGCAAGGGCTGGCGGGATCAGCACTACGACCCCTGCTGCGATGGTGTGGATGCTAGGATCGCACACCGTCCAATTCAGGAGATTGAACGATAGTGGAACGGTACAGTAGCAGCGAGAAGGCAGAGTCAATCTCCGCCTTCTACTCGAGCGGTCCTTGCCCCGGAGTGCTAGCTAGATGACTTGGAGGCTTCCGCGCCAGGGTCGGGACGCTGACTGCTCTTGATGCTTGACGCCCGCGTGAGCAGTATGAGTCACAAAATGGAGAAGTTTTGGTCGTGATCCCCTGATAGATGGCCTGGGAACTCACACCCACCGGCAGTTACGAACGTGGTGTGGCCATACAGTGCTAAGATACGCCAGGCGGAAGTCTTCGGTATTGCATCCCACTTACCTCATGCACACAGATTGCATGAGACGCACGTTCGCCTACACGGCCATTCCACAGCGCAGCCTCAGCGCCACGCACAAGTCGCGTCTTCACAAGCCGTGCGGGTGCGGCCAGTGTCGTTTCCACGGCGGTCCTCGTTCTCCACATCCCGACAGTCCACCACGAATGGAATTGTTCGCATGCGCATGGCCTGTTGACATTGGTCGATGGGACTCCTAGATAATGCTGGCGCTTGACGCCTATGGGGGCCTGCGGAGAGCTGGGTATGGCATGGGTCATGTACTAGTAAGGTCGGAGGATGAAGCTCAGGGGTCATTGTCAACCGTGTGGCTGCTGTTACGTTGGAGCACGAGACTCTCCACCAAAGTTTCCGCTTTGGGTATCTCAGCGCAGAGCCCTATGATCCGTGCGAAGTGCGGGTCATAGGTGCCGATGAACATTCAGCTCGATCTTGGGCGGAGGCCAGCCATGTCGCCCGGGGAGCTTAACGCCGAAGATGGGTCAACCCAAGTTCACGTTGGCTTGCCGCTAGTCATGATCTTGCATGCCTTGTGACAGCACAACCTGCCGCTGGGCCGCAGCCCGAGTCGACTCATGATGTGATGCGCGTGGTAGCAGAGCTGGGCAAGGCGGCGTGATGGAACCTGCTCGCCCGTGAGGCTGCGCGCGGCGGACCAGGAGCGCGCGTATTTAGGCGTGGCACCATCGGCTAGTCTCAATGCCACTAGCGTGGTACCCGGCCGCCCTTCGCACACCCCCGAGACAGGCACCTCACCTTTCTGCGCAGCCTCACGCATTGCCATAGCGAACACGCCTAATTTCCGCAGCCGCAAATACCGTTGCCCCGTACAGTTTGTACTTGCAGTCTCCTGTGTATTGAATGGATACGGATTGGCAAGTACTACCGCTTAATATTGTGACTTCCCTAATTAGACCTATAGTATCGGTCTGGCTTGTATCCACAGATATGCGCAGGAGAGCGGCTCGGTGGCAACCCAGTTATTGTTGATACGTTCAGGAACCGCCCATGTCTATCTACAAATGGACTCGCTCAAGTACAAACAGCCGCCGGTATGCAGCCTTGGGTAGTCCCTATCCACCATTGCACAGGAACAGAGCTTGGATGAGGATTAAACGTCGTGTTTCCGCTTCGGTCAGAGGGCAGCTGAAGGTCCGCGGCAAGGCCGTACAAGCCTCCTGAAAAGGGCTTGCCCGCCCTTAATTCGCCGTTGCGGCGTACGTCGTTGTTCCCACGGCCAAAGCCACGCCTACTTTTTGTGCAAGTCTCGCCAGAAGTGATCTGACAGTGCCCCTCTGGCCCGTCCCGGCGGCCAATTTGGATGGCTCGTTTTGGCTGTTTCCCCAGCCAGCTTGGTATAATGCATCCATCCATGGCCCTGCTGTCGAGCTTGCACATCCGATTGGGCGACCACAACCAGCGACGGCGGAACTGCCACAGAACGGCACGGGGAAGAAGGCTGCATTGCCCCGTATCTAGTAGATTGCTCAGCCGCCTGCGGAAACACATGCGAAGGAGCCTTTGATTGGGTCAAGGTGCTCTGGAGCTTCACAGTGTTCCTCGGCAGACATTGGTACTATTTTGGGAAAAGACTTGGTAAAAGAGAGTTTTGGGCGGGAATGTGATAGGGGCGGCGATAGTCAAATATAACAGGATGCACGTTGGCGGTCGTGGATGCATGCATGCTCACAATGGGATCACGTATGGCTGCCCTTGCTTAGCCCCTACAACAAACAAGGCGTTGGTGGGTGACCCAGCAACCAACTACGGTACTAGTTGGCTGCGATGGTGCCCCACCCATACGGTGAGATATTAGATCACAAAGTGCCAACGGTATCAATAACCAATTGCGCAACCACCACAGCACACATACACACCTTCGTCCCTGCAGCCTCACCTACATGGCACCCCTGCCGCAGAATTTAATTCTATAGTACATGAATAAATTTGTCGTGATCTAGCGATCTAGAACCCGCCGTGCACCCACCTTGGCCATCGGCTACAGTATGTGTAGTCCGTTTATGCATGCAGCTAGGGTAATTCTTTCGGCAACGATCTGTTCTCCTTCCGGCGCACAGAACACTTCCGTCTCCCTCCACGATCGGCGATTGTGGGTGCTCTCCAGGAACGCCCAAGACATGCTGGCCGCCACGAAATGACAGGTTCGCAGGATCGTCCCGCCCACACACATTCATCTCGCGACTGGGGGTTGTGCAAGCCGTGTCACTGTGCGGGCAGCGTGCGAGTTGCCACAACAGGATGGAACCGGGACGGATCTGCATGGCATCACCGTCAACATCGGCCTTCTGCAGACATTGATTTGGCTTGCTTGCTGCACTATCTGGGTGGGCAGTCCGGACTCACCAAGCCGCAAGAGAGGTATCCCAGCAATAGACTGAGCTCTGCGATACATGACGTGATACCTTTAGATGGATCTAGACCGTTTGATGTGAGGCGAACGCCCGCATGAGCTCTTCCGTACACCCAACCTTTCCCCTATCACCCCTGGCAGCTCGCTGACGCGAGTCGCCTTGACACTGTCATCTGCACCTCGTGCTGTGCCTCATGCAATGGCGCATGATGGACCTACCAACATTGCGCCACACACGCATGGCGAGGGCGCAGATTGTCGGGCGGCACTCGAGCTCTCATGCGCAACTCTTTCCCCGTTCCTTTTGACGATCCGAGCCAGCGCGTGCGTCGTGGCAACTGGCTCAGTGTGCTCACTCAGCTTGGACGCATGGGACCACTGGGCATGACTGGGCAGCCATGCCTAGCCAATGGGGAAGGCTTGCTACTTTTCATAAGATCTCGACCACACTGGAGGTGCCAGCAGCTTCAGTTGCACACTCGGAGCCCAGGGCCACGTAACCCTTGCAGCCACCCTGCAGCTTTCCTGAGCACGTCGGGGTAGCCGAGAACTTCGCGCCAGGATACCAAACACCACGGAAGCTGAAGGAACATGGAGTATGCCTTGCGGTTGGGGTCGGGCGCGATGACAGTCAGAGCGATGGAGTGCGCCCGATCCAGGGCAGGGCAGACGGAGCGTGTTGGCATGCTAACACAACGAGGTGGCGGACTCCCTCCTACTCAAAAGTGCTTCTCAGATGCCTCCGTTCGAATGATTGAAAGCGTGCCAGTAGAGAAGCGACGATCGTGGATATACACCAGGACGACGGCTTAACCCGGGCGACGCGTTCCCCTCTCTCTGACGACGGACGAGCAGTGCAATCCTGGTGAATCGACCAAGTGTAAGGAATTTCACAACCCCTGGACCCGGCAAGCCCACAGGCCAGATGGCCCGTTTTCTTTGTGTTGCTTGTGGAGGAACGTAGTCGCACGAGTTCTCCGAATTTGTCACGGAGGCGGCCGGAACGTTATTCGACTGCCTACGCGCGTCGACGTGGGCGTGCCTCCGTTGCAAGCCGCCAGTATGATGATGGTGTGTGGTGTGTCTATGCGTGCAAGCCGAAGTTGAAAGGCCGCCTCGGGATGGTAGGCGCGCCCCTGCAATCAAGTACTGCCTTGCGGCCAGCCGTGGGGCACTGTGCGCCCCAGAAGTGCGCAGACGGGTGCGGGCCCCACATCCATGCACACACCCCATCGGTATGCCGCAATTCCCGGTGCTGGGGCCACCTGCGGCCTGGTGTTGGTATCCATACGCACGAGTCACGACAAACCTCAACTCCCCTTGGATGGAACAGACCATGCCACTTTCATTGGATCCCGCCGACACTCGGCCCAGCAACCACATCACCGGGCCTTGGGCAGAGAGATTGCGCATCTACCCGTGCGCCCGGTTCCCTTGGCCGAGGGGAATGCTGCACTGTCGAAGGCAGGGGCTGCTGGCTGGGATGGAGCCAGCGGACAGGTCCCATCCGATCTCGTAGTCCGACACGGCCTGATTCGAAGCGAGTCTTGGAGCAAGCACGCATCCTGCACTATCAAGCGTATCACGAGCAGCGGGCGAAGATCTGTTCGTGGCCAGCCGTACTGGACCTATTCTGCGAGCCATATGGCGGAGCCATCCATCATCTTCGGCAGCGTCCACGTCGTAGCGCCTCCCCTCTGGCATGCATCCCCTATGTGTTGCGCTCGCTTATACGATCCAGGGCGCCGAGGTTTGAATATCTTGACCTAGCTACGGACCGCGTGGATCCCCGCAGGGTGGGCTGTGGGTCACGAACACAGTAGCATTTGCTAGCTTTACCGGATGCAGCATCCTACCGCATCTTGATTGGGCCGTCCACGCCCTTCCCGCTGGTTCCACCCACATCCTCGCCATGTCAGACGAAGCTGCCCTTGATATACGCATCGTCATAGTGTGTCGGACGCGGTCCCGGGCGCTGCTCGTCTCGGCGTCGCTCGCCGGCAGCTTATCGTGCGCAGTGAGTGCCGTTTGTATCCAAAAGCGATTTTCCCACGAGCCCGCGCCATCGCCATCTTTTTTGCTCGATCAACACGGTCCGGTCCTCGGTCTTTTTATGCAAATTGCCTCCAGGCTAAGACCTGACACTAATGAAATCTTGCATCATGTAGACGGCATTCTCTATGCACTGAACGAGCACAGCCAGCAGCGCCTGCAGAGGTATGATTGACCATTTCCACTAGATAATACTTATCATCATATATTACATATCATACGGGTCACATCGCGATATAAGGTGATTGTACGTAGTATAGACAAGCCTAGCTGAACTCGGCCCCGAAACAAATCGCATGGAAGTGCCCCAGTGCAGAGTCGCTGGGGGACGGCGTACGGGGCACGCCTCGAGGAGGGACGCCTATGCCACAGCGTCTAGAACAGCGGGAACCAAACTTAACAGCCAAGTCAGGATCAGCTGCGCGTCGAGCGACTGGGCCAGGAACAAGACGTATTCAGCCATGCAATTTCCGAAGCAGTGAAGAAGTGTCATACCAGCCTCACTGTAACGGCGTAAGCCGTTGCACCATGGGCAAAGAATCAGGCATGGATCGAATGACGAGCGATCAATACTGGCGTAGTAGCTGCTTATAGGAGATTACAGGGGACCGAACCGTAACACTCACCAGCCGGCAAGTCCGAGTCGAGACGCGCCGCAGCGCAGGGATCGCAGCACTGGCCACGAGAACTTGAATCGCGGCTGACGAGGGCGTCCTGCCACTGCCAGACCCTGAATGATGATACACCCTCCCCACCCCCGTTCAGCTCAATGACCCTGGTAGACTGACCCCAGAGCGATCGGCAGCCACAGACACCGTGACCCCGGTCAATTCAACCAAAAGCGCACGGACGCACATGAGGGAAACCAGGCAACCACAGCCGGGATCGCCGCGGAAGTGCTTCATCCTCTGTTCATTGCCTTGTATCCGACCGCTGAGTCGACGCACGCGCCACCTATGCCTAGCTCTAATTGGTCTTGGAGAAAACAGACACGAGGCAGACCACACAATGCGGACGATATACGATCCGCAGAGTGTTCTGCCATCGAGGAGCGTACTGTACATATCGACAATGATACTCGTCTGGTTGACGGACCGAATTAGTGACTACCTATGGAGAGAGGATGGGAACTGCACCCCCCAGATCACATGCGTCCCATGACGATGGTGAACTCGAAAAGTATGGACTGCGTTGCAGGACATGTGCGAGCCAGCGGAGAGCCTTGACAACGTCGTAATCCCCCTTTTTCACGCCCCACCTATCGAATCAACCTTAAATAGGCGACACCAGCAGCCAGCACGGCCGCTAAACTTTTGCTACGCCATCTGTATCTGCTCGCTGACATTTTTCCTGACTGTGATCCTACATCGCGTCGACGTCAGTCCTCATCTGCCCTGGCAACTGTCCAAAGAAACTCTCAGCAGTACTCACCAAAATTCCCGGTCCCTTGCACCTTCATACAGCGTACACAGCAAGCGCACAACTCGACTGTCGAAAGTTTTCCGCTTTGATATTGGCCTTCCCCTGTCGAGCAAATCACATTGTGCGACACATAAGTCAGTGTTCGCATCGCTAAGCCACATCTTGACGGCCACAACGACGTGGCCTTGTCACCGAGATTCCGACGCATCAGCTCCCGGCTTGCCACGCAAGGCGGAATAGAGCCTGTCATGGCCACTGTGGGGACGAGTTTCGACGGCATGCTGCCCGACGGTGAGCGGGACGAGTATCAACTTGCACTCGAGCGCTGGCTCAAGTCTCGCGCGACCAAGCACAGCCGCGTGACGACGGAGTTGCGCGCGCAATTGAGCGAGCTGAGAGTCAAGCTGAATGCGATCGATAAAGACTACAGGTGCCTCAGAGCCCAGACCGAAGATGAGTTGAACGACGTGTCGCAGCGTTTGACGGCCGAGTACAGTAGCTGGAACGATGTCTATGACCTGAAAACGCAGCACATGGAATGGAAGCATCAGATGAGTCTCATGACCAATGATTGTCGAGAGAAGCGAGGCGGCCCCCCTTGGCCTGAGGATGCAGCCATCGAGCTGCCACCGCCGCTGTCAGCGGTCTCAGCAGTGGCACCACCACACGCACAGAAACCGACGTCCCCCAGCCTGCAATTGCGAGAGCTGGCCAGAGAAGCACTCGCTCAGTCCGCGCGTGTTCCATCACCTGCAGAGCCGCCTCCTCTCATAGTGCCTACTTATCCTCCACGAAGTGAACACCCGGGCATTATTGGCCGTCGACGCCACCGTACGTTCCCACGAAGTCATCTTTCATCCCAGCCGCAGCGTCAACATCAAGATTCACGGCGCCCTCACAGCTCGACTAGCTGGCCGAGAGTGGAAGATCCACCAGGTCGGGGTGTTCGTGACTCTGAGATTCGGCAGAGGGAAGAGGGCGAGCACGCGCGGAGGATTGCTCGTGACCGAAAATTTCGTGAATGGATTCGCCGGGAGAAACATAAGAGGGCGCAGAAGATTCACCTCGAGAGAGATATCCCAGGTCACGGACCATTGCCACTGCCTCCCAGCCAGGCGCATTGGCTCCCACCGTCAAGTGCCAGTCCTCACGGGTGGCCCGACACTGTACAAGCGGAGCGCGATGGCCTGAACCGCTTTGCCTCTCACAACGGTGATCATCCAGCTATTGGAACGCCGGATGGATCTCCGCATCCTCTTTCCAGAGCTGGCCACGAGCCTATGGTCCTCCAGCTTCCGGAGCAGCACCGTCAGCATGCGACGCCTCAGCATCGTCAGCTGTTGCCGGCGGCCCAAGCTCCCCTGTCCATGAGGCACTCTCTCCCATCTACAGGGGACTTCAGACCTGCCAACGGTGGGTTTACCCCAGCAAACCGGCCCGTGACCAGCAGACCACAGTCTCCATTAGCTGTGATGCCCGTCATGTCGGCACCCAACTCGCCCACCGCCCCGGAAAATCCAAGCGAACCTTTGGTGGAGATCAACCAAGAAAATCTTGTATTACGACACGATGGGACTGTCTACACCTCGCCCGCGTGCATGGTAGGCGTGCCGAGGGACAAGATACACCCTGGCGACCAGTACTGGGAACACCATTGGACGGATGTGCGACCGGAGGTCGTGAAGGAGAAGGAATGCTGGGAACAAAAGCACCAGAAAGCTCTTAAACGCTGGGCAGAGAAAAAAGGGAGTGAATCCTACTATTACACGACTAAGAAGTGGGTGCGCCGAGGCGATAAGATCATCGAGTTCCTCGATGACCCGAAACAGATCAGCCCTTACCAGCTACTCGCCAAGAAATTCATGAACGCGTCCGGGGGCTGCATCACGTCTTACAAAACCCTTTCTTGCCTGTGCGAAACCCTGTCCGAGCTCGCCAATTACGACCTAGACATTGAGCCCCTGGACTGGATGCGCCACCGACTATACGAGATTCATCTCCAGGCTCCGGGCGGTTCCTTCGATCTTTGCAAGATCCTGAACGACTTCTACCACGATCCCAAGCTGACTGATCTGCGGTTCAAGCATGGACACAAGAAGCGAGGAGCGACGTTCTGGTCCAAACCGGGTAGGTCACTCAGACGTGTCGCCAGCGCGCAATTACGCAAGCGCCAGGCCGCTCCAGCAGCACTTGAAGGTCCCCACGAAGACGATAAAGGCTCCTTTACTCAATCCCGTTTCGTCGTTTCTGCTTAGAATCCGCGCACAGGACATGGAAGGCTGGGGGCGCCTCGAAGTCAGGGACATTGGAGCTTCACGAAGTCGAAGTGCAGCAAGCTTCAAGCCCGCAGGCTATGAACGGCACACACGAAGTATCGCGAGACATTGCATGGAAAGTGTAGCAGCACATGCATTTGACAAGCTGAAGCCCGCGGCGCCCTGCAAGAGAAGCTTTTGCTCATTTTCGTCATTGCCCGTCCCCCTCGGAGTTCAGGTACCGCGAAGGCAACATTTTTGCTATTTTCATCTGCTCGTTATCGTCCAGCGACCTACCCCAAGGGGCAGCAATGCTTTCTTGTCCCCTGCCGTATTGCATTTTATCTGCGATAGGCTGCCAAGAGACCCGAGTTTCCGCTGTGTCTACTTTACTCCTCTCTCCTTCTGTTTTCTCATTATCAATGCCTGAAGATTGCCATGAGAGGAAGACGTTGGGCGTTTCGAAGAGAAGCGGGAGACGCATTGTATAACGTCGCCCTGCCTGTACGGATCGTTGTAACCAGTAGCTTCCACATCATCAATCGATAACCAAGTCATTGACAATTGTGTATACCCAGATTCGCACATTGAACGCCAGTGCGCCATGCTTCATTCGCGAAGGGATCGCGCACTGGCCATGGCTCTTAGCGTTCTTGCCCAAGTCAGCCAGGCCGCCCATCGTCCGATTTATGGCATGGGAGACAGCATAACCAAGATAACCAATATGGGTTCTGGACGGGCCCCTCGTCTTTCAAGGCCGCGGTGTCCGGCGCTAACGCCGCGCTGCTCCCTGCCTAAGTATTGCTCACAGCCCGGCCGAGGATCTGACGCTTCCGCAGTCCGGACGTTGGCTCGTCCGTCTTTTGTCTGCCCCGCCTCGCGACCATGGTGGCCTTCTGTGCATGCTCTGTCCTTGATCGGAAGAAGCAGCGAGTCCTTTCTTGCAGGTTCGGATATACTGCGCATTGGGTTCTGGGAGGCGAAGGTGACTTGTTCATGGAAGCTGCTCAGAATTCCATCAATGACGAGTCCAACACCGCAGTGCTTGATGTGTATTGGCTGCAGCAAAGTTATCCTGCCCAGACGGCTGTTGTGCCGAGGCATTCTCTCAGTCTTTTGTGCCTCGCCTTAGAAAGCTATAGGGTCAGGATTGCTTTGCTGTCGTTGTCGTTCGGGTTTCGAGATTGATTCTGAATACACCCTCTGCAGAGACGCATGTGGACCGTAATGTTCGAGGATAAGAATGAACAAAGCTTATTGAGGACGCGGGTCTCGTCAGGCATGAGGAAACAGCAAGTCAAAAAGCCGCAGGCCCTTCGCTCGAGCTCGCCGGCAACTTCCACAGAGCTATTTTAGCCCATGACTAGACGCGCACTAGCCTGACCGGCCGTGTGAGTCGCTTTGTGAGGCTGCTCGGGGGTGAGGTTCGGCAGAGCCTTGGACTTGGGATCTCAGACCGGTGAGCTGCCTTGTCCGTCTGCATATGTGTGATGGGACATTACTACCAACTGCTCAAAATGACAGCTCGGTACTTCGTCTTGTGTTCCTACATCCTTTCAGACATCTCCCCGCTCCTACTTCTGACTGCCCATCCGTTCTCCCCTTTTAACATGTTTTTAACATGAGTATGAACCGCACCAAGCTTTAGATCGACGCACAACGGGCTTTGCGGTCTCGTGCAATCGATCGCTCGAAGAGGGCAGTTTTCGCGTCGAAGGACGCATTGCACTATCGCTATGAGGGCCAGAAATTCTCCGATGTAAACTTCCTAACATTGATCGATCTTTTTGTTGCGCTTTCGGGTCCGCAGCTCTCGATAGTAGCCAAGATCCCCGAAGTTATTCAACCACGCAGCAGCCCCAGGGCTATTTTCGAGGATGGCTGGCTGCGTCTGTATCGAGATGGCTGGAACGCAGACCCTGTCTTGGCTGCCCTGGTTTTGATTGGTTTGCCGACCCAACTCATATTTGATTACACCATTATTCCAACGAAAGTAGAAGCAGCTCACTGGGTATTGAAGTCGGCGCTCGACGCACTAGAACTACCGCCCTTGGAAGTCATCAAGGCATGCGGCGAACATGTCACTTGGGTGAAGGAAGCCTTGTGCAAGCCTCATTCAGCCGCGACCCAGCCCTCCCCCACGACTCGATCTTCGCATAACACCCACAGAGACCAACGCTGCCCGGAGAAGAGACCATTGAGCGGAATGGACAGCCAAGGTGATGTCGAGAATCCAGAAACGCCAACCCCGGTTCAAAAAAGACACCATGCCTCGGTCACGTGTGGTGGGTTCGTCGACGGTCATGCTCGCAGGAATATGGGTACATTGATAAGCCTCTTTCCACTATCAGTGCAGTCATACAGGCAAATCCATCAGACTCTGGGACAGGCTGTGGCATCACCAGCACCTCACAATCGTTACCCAGCAGCATCTTTGCTTCAAACCTAGATACGCTGTTCACATCCAGAACTTTGGAACCCAATATCAACCCGGCAGTGCTCCAGCCAATCGAGATTGAAGCTAGTGATCGGATAACGGACATACTGCCTCCGCACGAACCAGGCCAAGAAGGGGACATTCCCTTAGCGAACCAGGCCAATGCTAATGAAAAGCAACCGCCGCGGCCGACTCATGGCGACTCGGAGATAAAAACGAAATCGATTGTTGCGCCCTCTGGGACCACAAGCATAACATCCTTGGTGACGTGGACAGAAGTCCCTGGTGCTAGTGGCGCTTCCTCCATACTTGATGTATCACGGACTTTTGAATCCTCGTCTCCCGAGCTCTGAATAAATATCAAATCGGTCGCTTTTGCTATCTTCAACAGCCTCTCAATGCTGCCTTGCAACCGCATCGCGCCGACATTCTACAAAGCATCATTAGCATTTGGTCGAGCACGGAGTAAGACGCTTACTCTGTCACCTGGTATTCCTATTGCGGCGGTCACGGGATGGCACTTGAGGCCAAGCTGCCAGTCTACGCAAACGTTCGAGCCTGAAACTATTTAGAATCGCGCCTTCGCTAAATACTCTCCAAGTTTTTCTAAAACCCGTATGTCAATAGGTATACTATGTACCTTCAAGTGTTGCGACATGTTAATAGATTATATCGTCACGACGAATGTGTGGGTAACGACGAGGCATTTGACGATGCCGCGGGGTTCAACATAGGTTGCAGGTTTCCGTCGTCATTGGCTTGCTCACGATAGGAGCATGAATCCGCAGGGTAGGTATATTAGTACGGTTTGGCAGCGAACTCAAAAGACATTGCAAGGCTCCCCTCTAACTCACCTTAGGAAATATTGAGCCCGAGCGTCGAAGCCGACTATCCGGAGTTTTCTGAATATCGTTCCACTTAACACTGACCCAGATGTCATCACAAGAAGCCGTCAAAAGTGAGGTGGTGATCAAGATCGCTATTTGTTCTTTTTGACTGGGGTGGCTGCAGGTGGCCCGCAAAGAGTCCCTTCCGCGTTTGTGCATCATAACACCAATATTAATTTAATACCAAAGCAAATTTTGTCACGAGTCCTAGCTCAGGATTTAGGAAGTGGGGGAGTCTTGGAATAATACAGTTGTCGTAGCAACAAAATTCATGTCGATGGTAAAATTTTGTCCCCCTCTGTCTGGTGAAGAGAAGGTCATGTTCAAAGCGCGTCAAGAGGTACGGACTTCTTGGCATTTATTGAGGCAGCGCTTCCAATGGTCCCACTTGGGCGAAGGCTTACGTGCCCAACGATTGGTTGGCTGAGAATAGTTGTCAAGGCAGCACATACATCCACTACCATACATCCACTACCATACATCCACTACCATACATCCACTACCATACATCCACTACCATACATCCACTACCATACATCCAC